ATTCTGAGTGCAGGAATCGAGCAAGCACAGACAAAATGCATGCAAGATCATGCCCGGACACAACTACACCGACTACGCCGCTGCCTGCCGGCTCCCCAATCTCGAGACTCCGAGTAAGCGTCGCGACACTGCAATCTGCGGCAAGCTGGCAGCCGACACTTTCGCGAACCCTGCCCACCCACGGTAACCCGTGCGAGCAGCTGCCAAATGTGAGTCCCCACATGCGCTGGCATGCAAGTCGTCATCCCGCAGGCCAGAACGGAGCGGCAGAAAAGTCATCGGCGCCCGTGCTCACAGGCCTCATGAACAGCACGTGATTCTTAGGTACCTGGGTAGGTGCGTTTAAAGTACGCTAACAATGCACCGTTCCTATTTTCCGTGAGGCACTGTGCTTTGCGTGCGGTGCCATCACAGCACCGGAATCCATGCACAACCTTTTCTACCAGTCATTCACGGCCACATGGCCATACAAACCTCGTTTATGTATGTGCGGTCGTATGAGCACGTAAACCGGGTCCGCCGCCGACGCCGCGGCTAAGTTGCGCGCAACATAGGTCTACGGGACCGCTGCCGACGACTAGATAATCTGCAGCACGATATCAAAGGCGAAACCAGGCCACTGATCCCAGATTCGCGGCATTCCATTTTAGCCAGCACCGATGACGTCGGTTTAGGCGCCGGGAAGCGTGCCGGGCTAAACTTCGCAACCCCGAGGCCGTGAACACGGGGGTCCAAGACCGACACGGGGACAAAACCATCGGATCGGACCCCCCCCCCCCTGACCGCAGTGCGTCCAGGCATGGCTTCACACACACCGGAATAGCAACGAACGAAATAGGCTGGGCCGCCGGGAACCACAGTCGCCCCTCCCCCCCCCCCCCCCCCCCCAAGGCCGCCCGCGCCGACCGCCAGTCAGAAAAGACAGCCATCGGCGGAGCCAGAGCCGGCCGCCGGCCGCTGGCACAGCCCCGGCACCGCCACGACACCGGACCGGCTGATGAGACAGTCAACGCCGGGGCAGCCGCGGGCCCGCCTGCCGGTACCGTCCGCGGGGCCACAGAGGCCCACAGTGGGGCCGCCACGGTCCTCAAACCAGGCGACAGCGGCGGGACGGGCCGCCCGCCGCAACCTGATACCAGCCGACGCCGCACGACCCGGCTCCCCCGCTGGTCCCCCGGCGGCCACGAGAGGCAGACGACCAACGAACACCCCGAACACGGTCACGTTCCATTAGTGGGTCGCGGCGCCCCCACGCGGGTCGACAGTGAGTCACTGGCGGCACTGTGCGGGGAGTATGGGGTCCAGTCACAGCTGACTCAGGACGGGAGCCGACCTTGGGGTGGAGGGAGTCCCTCGCCGCCCCGGTTCACACTAACTAAGGGTTCGACCCAAAATCACCACCAAGAGCCATGCCGCAATAACAGACCGGGCATCGCCAGCGGAACACACTGGGAACCTTTCCGCATGCGGCATGTGCCCGAATTCGTGGTCAAACCATTAACTGCTCAGCAGAGATCGAGAAAGGTTTGGGCAGCGGACGCTTAGCCTAAGACTTTTTCATTCCATTGGGTGTATTTGGCGTTTTTTAGGGGCCGTCCTACCCTACAAACGAGCCGACGCGAGTGGTTTCGGCCGCTGACAGCCAACTGAGGCGAACGCTTGGTGATAGTGGCGCGGGCAACGGGGGCCTAATCAACTCATAGCGGCGACGCGGCTATGGAAGGTTAGGACCCTGCCCGGGCGCCACTGAACGTGACCGGAGCAAAGGGAGACGGGGGTCGGAGACAGATAAATCACCCCGCCGACAGACGCGGAGCAGACCCTGACTAGGGGTGGTGCGAAGGGGAGTGTAGGAACGGGCGCGCCGCTGGCAGCAGAGCCGAGAGGCGCGAACGGCAGTCGTCGACTGCGACGGACGGCGAGTGAAGCAGAGAGTGGGCGAGAAGTTTCCCACCCACCCTCACCTATTTAATAGATGCGACTTCGAGATTCGTCAAACCTGCATATCCTTAATCCCGACCATATACCTCGTCGTTATCACTCCGTCGGTGCGTTTTTTAGGGGCCGTCCTACCCTACAAACGAGCCGACGCGAGTGGTTTCGGCCGCTGACAGCCAACTGAGGCGAACGCTTGGTGATAGTGGCGCGGGCAACGGGGGCCTAAACGGTCATTTATGGCTAAAGTCGCAGGACATCAAATTACACAGTCTTGACAAAATTAGCACTTTTGCTAAGGTACAAATAAGATTAACGGTACAAATAAGATAAACAAACGTGCACATATTGAGCATTCCAAATCGTCTAAAACGCTAGGGAAAACAGCAGTCTTCACATACCTACCTTTAACACAAGACCTAATGTAAGACCTAAAACAACTCCGGGTCTGTTGACGCTGACCCAGAGTCGGAGCCGACCTTAAGCCGAGTTGAAGTCGAAGTCGGAGCAACGCTACCACGACTCCAAAGCCCTGACAATAAGCATACAACTGAAAGGGAACCTGAATAGCAAGCATCAGAGCTGAGGCCATGTATGGGTAAAAATAAGCAATTTAAAATGAATATTGAAGAACCAGCTACACGGCACATCATTCAGATAACCACTTCTACGATGTCGAAGTGCTGACGGCTGCAATCTTTAGAGCCGAGATAAACGCAAAAAGAGCCCAATCAAACGAACAGCGATCCGAGCCCGCCACCATTCCGTCGGAACTCTTCAGCGGGACGTCATTTCACGAAAAAGCCGATCTCGCAAACTTGAGAGACAGGATCGACTCAAAAGAGCGGCTTCATAAGGAGAGGGGTTGTCAAGACTATTCATAAACTTCAACAAGGAGTCTTTTCGAAAGATAAGAAATAAAACCACTCCCAAGAAAAGAAAAGCAATATAGTAAATACCATAAAACGAAGCTGTGAAGGTTGGTTACCTGTCTATGGTCTACATATGTATAGTTACGTCAGCTTGTCGCCAACAACTGCTGGGTAGTTCACGCCCGTTCCATCGCTGTTTCGCGACCTTTCGCAGGGTTGGCCAATCGTCCGAATGGGGTACCCAATATTCTTGCAGTGCGCGGTGTAGCCATTCATTTCGCGGATACCGCCCGCCGCCCCACCCACACGGGCCACCGGACGGGCCAATTTTAGCCGGCGTCGCCTACAACAGCACCTCCGAGACGGCGCACGAGGTTCGGCGCGCGCCAAAGTGGCGGCGTCTGTTACCGACTGACAGGCCATTTTTCGGCCTGCGCGTGTCAGCCGGGGCCGTTACGAACCTCGTCAGCGACCGGTACGTTCCTCGGGACGAGAGAGGCGCCGGAGCGCCGGGCTCGCGCGCCAAGTCGGCCCCGCATCCGGCCGGAGGTCATCAGGGCTGTGCGCGACGGCTCCGGCCCCGCCCCGGGCGTGACTCCGTCCGGACCTGACCCGGCCTGAGCCGCCCCAGAGCCAGGCCCGTGCCCGCCCCAGCCCCCCCCCCCCCCCCTCCACAGCCATACCCCTCCCAGACCCGTGCCCGCCCCCCCCCCTCGGCCGTGCTTCGGCACGCCGCCGGCACTGATCCGGCCGCGGCACGCGACTGCCGGAGCTGGGGAGGGCGGCCGTCCGATTTGGCCCCGGCCGCGGCACCGGCGGACGTCAGCGTCAGCCGAGCTGTCTCGGCAGGACGGCCCGTCGCGACACAGCCCGTCGACGCGACTGTCGGCTGTCGTCGCCGAGATCAGAGGAGTTCAGTCGACGGAGCAGTCGCCGACGAAAGGCAGGGGTTGTCGCAGTCCATAGATAAGACTTCAAACTGAGTGGAAACAGACTGGATGAATCAAGCTGGCACTAGAATGCGCAATTACACCAAGCTTCTTCGAGACAAGAGTAGCTTATAGAAACCAAGTAGGAAATGCATTTCGCTGGTCTTTCAGTTCAGGCAGCGTTTCGGCATTCGTTTGTAGAAAGCATGACTTTTGCTATCAGCGTTTTTTTTTTTTTTTTTTTTGCTTTGCTTTGCTCTTATCAGTTCAGATCGACAAGGCGGTTCTCTCATCCCCACTCAAAATAAACACAGAAGAACGCTTCTTTTTAAGCTGCAAACGGGAGCGTGAAGAACGTTGTTGGCAGACCTGACAAGCATGACAGAAACCGAACATGCCTGGCTTCCACTAGCAGGTTATCAAAGATAAAAATAAACAGGAGCCTATCTCAGAGGTGGAAACTTTGTGAAATGCTTTCACGACGCTTTCAACCTAGCGAAAGTGTTGTTTCATCTTCTGGAATAGCAAAAGAAGTAAAAAAAAAACTGACAGACAATAGTATCAACAACAAAGTCACGCAAGTCTTCCCCTTCTTACCCAAATTTGAATTGATCATTTGATAAGTCACATCTCTGTCTCCATTCAACCAACTTTGTCAAGCCCATCTCGTCATAAAACATTATTCAAACTTCTCAAGATGAACATTAATCGTGAATTATGAATTATGATCAATCTGTTGGTCGTGTTTTACCACAACTTGCCCTATAAAATGCTCTCACCGGAACGAATCAATTTCATTCAACGCACACTGTGCGTAAGCTTCTAGCGATGATCAAACAATGCAAAGCTTTTCTCATAAAAACGAAAGTTCTTCACAGAAAACTCATAAATTTGTCTATTGACAGGATATTTTCCCCGAACATATAGACTTTTCTTGCAACACTGGATGCATACCGACTGGAAGGTATTTTTCAAAGAAAATATTGTGAACAGCGCACAGCTGGGGACCAGAAGCGAACGTACTCTTTGAAGCCTCATGCATTTATAAATGCATGTACACGAATACACAATAAACAATAAATATGTACACGAATTGGTTGTATCACCCCATCTTTTCAATGCGCGTCACTATCCCAAAATCTGACCATTCTCTCCCTGTTTTACAGATTCATCTCTCAGACAAATCGCCACACATCAGCGCTTGTTCCATCCCACCGCTCTCTGACGTCTCGTCGTCAACGCATCGTTCCATTTCCATCCAGCCATGGACGCGGCGTCTGCCAGCGATTCCGGAGGAGGAGACGGGGGCGACGGGGGCTGGAACATCTCCACCTCACCCGCGACGGTCACTGAAGACGCAGCCAGCTTCCTTCGTCGGACCATCGGGCCGCAGGAGCTTCCACTAGACGTGGTGCTGCCCATCACTGTGGTGTACGCCCTCATCTTCGTCACGGGCGTGATCGGGAACGTGGCCGTGTGTCTGGTGATCTTCCGTCACCCGGCACTGCAGACAGCTACCAACTTCTACCTCTTCAGTCTGGCGGTGGCCGACCTCACCGTGCTCGTGCTAGGTGAGAACTGGGCGGGGGACAGGGGACGGGAGGGACGGGGACGGCTAGATTACTTCACTAAATAACCCGTATAGTGCTGAGATTGCTGGGACGAGATAATTGTGGTACACGGTGGTTGTTGAAATGGTCGAGAGGGGCGGGCAATAGCAAGTTGAAATGAAGCCAAGGGAGGCACTCGTACTAGGAATGGGTGATACTCAAAACAAGACGGGCTCTTCAAGTGCAAAAGCAGTGCTGCTGCTGGAGTGCTATGCTGGAGAAACACGATACAATTCAAATAAAAAGCTGCAATAGGTGTTGACATTCATACATGTGTACCAAACTTGTATTTATTGGCTAGGATTACTACGCAAGAAAATTCACTTGCAAATATAGAAATAAATGTGGCCCTTCTCAGTCCTAGTATGTACTTACATCCGTAGCGAACGCTGTCGCTCAGTCTCAGATGGTCATCTACATACAATCATGGTCTCTCACGGCGGTTGTCCCCAAGCGGTATAGCATCAATAGCGGAAGTGAGTCTGATATTAACCAGGCTCTAAACGTCGACTGCCCATAATCCCAGCGGCCAGCGGCTTCATCCGACGAGCCAGGATGACCATTTCGCCGTGACCTTATGATCCGTGGTTTCCAGTGCATCGGGAATCAAAATGATCGAATTATTTTATATATTGTTAAAACAGTCAACGAAAATTGGAATGTTCAGGCCTACAGGCCCTTAGCGCAAAAACTTGTGAGAAATATAACCCGCGCACCGACGGGGGTCTGCGCCAACTTCGCACCGACGGGAGGGGGGGGGGGCGGATGACCGCCCCCCCTGAGATCTCGAGAACCAAGCAAGATAGCGACAAGCGGTAAACGGCATCGGATACGCACGGTCAAGATCTACAATTTTTACAAAGGTCATTTTCAGGTCAGGTCAAAGATGACGTCACAGGGGTCGAAAAAGTCAAAATGGCGGCGCTAGATATGGAGAGTTTTTCTCGAATAGCTTTCGAATTAGTCAAGATAGGAACAAACTAAGGGCATCATCGTGATCCTCTCGTCAATCCGCATCGAATGATATATATGTTGACCTCGGAAGGTCAAGGTCAAAGGTTGACCTCAGGTCACGTGCCCTCGAGGTCATCATGTATATCATTCGATGCGTCTTGACGAGCTGAACACAATGAGACCATCCACGCGGCTGTATCTTGTTCCTGTACGGAGTTATTGGCCAAAAACCTTTGGTGACCTTTGATGACGTCACATGACCTCACAGCTGCCCAACAGCAAAACAGACCTCAAGGTAGTGAAGGTTGATCGTATATGAAGTCATGTGTGGTATATGGGGCCATTCCGACCCGTTTTAGTGGTAAAAACAGGGAGTTGATTTTTCCCCTATTGACTTATAATGGGGAGGTCGCGAAATTGACCTGACCTTAGGTCACCGATATCAAAATTCCGAGATATACAAATTGTAGCTACTAATGACCTTATAACATCCTGCGATTTTCAAAGGCCTCGGACATCTACTGTAGCTCTGGCACGGTGACAAAGTTGCAAAAAAGTGACTTGAGGTTGGGTCATTCAAAGTGACCTGGTGACCTGACCTTAAAAGGTAGGAGGTTCAAACTTGCACACCATGTGTAAAATTGATGAGGGAATAGTCATACCAAATTTCGCGGCGCTACGCGCCGCGGTTTTCCCGCTATTCGCGAAAAACCTCAGGGGGGCGGATATCCGCCCCCTGTCGGTGCGCGGGATAAGACAATGAATTGTGCAGTGTGCACAATGAGCATGCTGGTCAATGGGGAATTACTTCAACACATTCTCCTCATTCACAGAAAATTTTCCACTCCATTTGCGCCGCGTTCAATGGAAAGGAATCATGCAAGACCGACGAGACGTAAAATCATGCATGGCTCTCGTATATCTTGCATGGTTAGTGTTACGTTCAAGAGGATCGTTTCATTTAGTGCAATGAAGGGGAAGTGAAATACCACTTCCAATGCCATTTCCTTCAGTAAAGGCCTAAATTATTACATCCAGCAACACAGCTGAAGTGGTTATGTAAGCGTTCAATATCATCTAATGCCCACTGATGAATGTCAATAATCAATGATCCCGTTCCATGGCAGATATTACCGCAAATGGCTTATGCGTTACTGCATGGTTATTTCCGCCCGTTGTGAATGGTAAGCCGTTGCGTGGTCTGACCCCATGCGATCCACTACAGGACTGCCCAACGACCTGAAGGTGTACTGGCGCCAGTACCCGTGGGCCCTGGGACGGCCGCTCTGCAAAATACGCGCCCTCATCTCCGAGATGTGAGTACCTACTCCGCACACGTTGACTGATCTCATTATCTCACCGAGCTCAACATCAAAGCCACCTCAGATCCCGGCTAATGAGATAATCATGTTATTCTCATAACCAAAATCCTCCCCCCGTTTCTGCTCAAAGCGTTTTGTTGCACTACCTCATCCACACAATATAAATGAGGTTCGACATACTTGGTTGTTATTTTCCACCAAATCCAGCCGATCACATGCCTCGACACGGCGGAGCTGTGTTAGACCGGCGGAGCGCCGAGGCGGCGATGTTTTTCATCTCACGTCTCGGCTCTCCCCGGAGGAGCTGCTGTAATCACAGTCTCCCGCGGAGGTGGCAGTCGTGACAGCGGGCGTGTTTTCACCTTGGAAGACACCCGCCGCACGTGACCTGGCGTCGCTCCCCGTCATCCAACCCCGCCCCGGCGCTTCGCCGAGCCACGCGCGAGGAATGGGAGACTCAAGAGCCGGCGCCGGCATCGTTTGTGTCAATGTGGACTCTTTAAAGCCGCGGAGGAGCTACGAGTGAATCGCGGTGATTATGCCAGGCTGTTGCTGCAATTTACGGCAGGAGCATCTGTGGAATTTCAATAAGATGTCGAATGCGAACTGCTTTGCCTCAGTTTTTGGTGGTGAATACAGGTAAACACTGTTGTTCACAGCGAAATCCGCAGCTTGAGCTATGTACCTACCAAAATGACATATACGATATCGATAATATTACGACGTGCCTGCAATAATCAATTGCACATATAATGAGACTTTTTCTTTAGTAAAAACGAGTTAACTTGTACGCAATCACTGGCTGCTGAGCTCTATTGATAAACTTTAACAAAAAAAAAAACAGCGAAGAGAGGGATTGTTAAAATAGTTTTTTTTATTTTCCACATCGCTTTGCTTCATTGTGAGTTGTAACAATTTACTACACCTTTTATGTAATCCAAAGCTGAAGCGATAAACACCGCACCTGTACCTCGCCCTTGAACACCTCACCCGTGCCAGTCACCCTATGTACACCACCCTACTCGTCTCGGGCGCCTACAACCCTCCACAGGTGTCTGCCCGAGGCGCTAACAAGACACCCTTCTCCCCGACAGGACATCGTACGTGTCGGCACTGATAATAGTGGCGTTCAGTTTGGAGCGCTACCTCGCCATCTGTCATCCGCTGCTGTCGTACACGATGGCCGGAAGACGGAGGGCCACGCGTATCATCGTGGGCGTGTGGGTGCTCTCGCTGCTGGCGGCGGCCCCCTTCGCCTTCTATACGGACGTGCACTACATCGAGTTCCCCAGCGGTGAGTGGCGGCTATCCATGCGGCGCTCACCAGCGGTGAGTGCAGTTGCTCTTACGGAGTTTAAATAGCCAGTGGTCTAGCGCACGAACGTCCCTCTAAATATACATAGTTCCCCAATGGTGAGTGACCACGCTTACATTGTTCAGTAAGTACTTTATATAAGCAAGTTTCTGAGCGCTGAGGCTTTAGACATAAAAGTTCGCAGTCTGCAGGCTACAGAAAACCTTTAGAAATCGAGATGGAAGTGGTAAGTATTTCTTGAACGAGTGTCTGAGAAATGCCTTTAAGTCCCTACCCGGAGCGGTGAGTCGGTGTTTTTCTTAATGGATGCCTGCTAATTCAAGTTTCTCAATGGTAAATACCGGTTGGGGAGACGACGCCTCCGGCAGAGAACATGCTTTTGAACGAACCGTTATAGGGTTTCATTGAGAAAAAAAAGAAAGGCGCCATTGCTCTGTGGCATCAATAGAATTTTGTCGCGGGAGCTTTAGAAATGGGGTCCAGGGTTCAGCTTGACAATCAATGAGTTCCTTATGGTTTTGTAGGCTAGCACGAGCATGAGTTTGCAATAGTAACAAAATAATTAATGAATGCATGTTCTTACCTTTCATGTAGGCAAAGGACACCAGACAAACCTACTGCACTCAATGCGGCGCATATCACATTACTAAGAGCAAATATTCTGGGATTCTGAATAATTCCTGGGAGTACAGGTCGCCAATATCGAGTTACCGGGGACGACGCGTGTGCACCGCGCCCCAGATTCCCGTGTAAGTGCTCACCTATTGATCCTCTAATGGGGTGTGCGTGGAACACTAGCCAACTTCCGTAAAGGTGGGTTCAGAAACACCTCGTCTCCGTGTTCAGTCCATTCAGCTTCTCAGTGTCAATTCGGCCGCGCGTTTAGATTCAGAGGTTGTTTGACGCCAGTTCGACTCTGTCCAAACACGAGCTGACTGCAGGGACTGTGACACGACCTGAACAGAGGCCGTGACAGCTGCGACCGACCGCTGACACCATCGACCCACAGTCGACATGGCTGGTCCACAGCTGGGACAGAGATTGCCGGGGATCCGATCTGACTGTCGACGACGGTCCAATCGCTGACGCAGGGGAGGGGTCGGAGGGAGGGGGGGGGGCACCTCTGGCGAGAAAAAGGAAGCGGCCATGTTTGCCCTAGCAATTGAATGCTCGGGCACATGTAAAGATGAAGGGCGGAGCGCATCACCTGGGAAAAAATCCTGTCACATTTTAGCAATTAAATGTCAGCAGATATTAATTGAACACGGAAAATCAACAGTGTTCAGTAAAACTTGAAAGACATTGTTTATCTTTATCTTTATCTTTTATTGAAAGGCCTTTATGGTTTATCTGAATGTTGTTTATGCTTAAAAGGTATTTTAGTTGAGCCAGTTCGTCAATTAGAACAAAAGACAAGTCATCTAAGGTGAGTATTGGTGATATTCTCCAGGTAACCGATACCTTGTTTCAGGTTCTGGCATATTTCTGGAGACAATCTGCTACATGCCCAACGAATGGCCTCTCATCTTCAGTTCGTTCGTCTTCTTCATCGTTCCTATGTCGATGCTTATGTTCATATACATCTGCATAGGTATAAAGGTGAGTCACTTTAAACAGGTCACTAAGGCGTCCAAAGTGCTGGACAAGATCATAAACAGATTATCCTGTTAGTGTTTTATGCAGTTCTTGTTATGGGAACGCATACATATTATAAACACATTTTATGTTGATGCTGAGCTGATTAGGTGCACAGACATTTCCGATTCATATTGTTCAACGTAACTTTTTATATTTTACTCTATCAATACTCTTCAAAACGGCATGAAATATTGTTATTGTTGAAGTTTATATCAGGCTGGATGATAAATTGACTCATTCGTGTCAAACAAGGTGCGAGCGAATCCTGATTAAAGTCTGAGGAAATGGCATTGTATGCAGATGGTGTGTTGAAAAATATCCTCCAATGATATTGTGGGAAAAAGTTGAGAAAACTTCTCAAGAGTGTGGTCTGCCGTGACCGAAATGATGGGGGTGAGAGCTCAAAAGATACAAAGAAGTTTAATTGACGAGCGATTGGTTTCTTGTTTTGACGAAAGTTCTGTGAACAAAGGCTTAACTTCAGCAGCGAATAAATCTTTCATTGCTGAAAACACCGGCACAGCTCCTGTCTTTCTCGTGATTTGGTAAAACTTCACGGGATATGAAAAAGCTAACGGTTTGTTTTATTGTGAGCTACTGTAGCTACTGCCATTAGCACGATTACCGCTCATCTTTTTATTGTTCATATAATCTTACTCTTTTCATTTGTTTTTTTTCTACTTCCGGGCTGTGCTGTCTGATACACAGGTACTGATATTCTTACATTTGCAATCTCAATAATGAATGCATTTTCAATTGCCCAATTTGTAGTGATTAAGCAAATCGATGCGTGTATGTATCGCTTCTATGCATGTATCGCTTCTCGTGCAGTATGCATGCCTGATTTACGTATCTGTGGTTTCACAGCGTGCGAAGGGCATTAATGGGCTCATGGGTTTGTTTTGTTGAAGTTTGCCCCATTCCGTCACAAGCAGTTCCACCCAAGTTCCACCGACGCGTAATATTGCTAAGGTTTAGCGCACAATCAGTTCCTTCACCTTTATCATGCATGTTACATCACACATCGTATATCATACAAGGATATGGTTAGGTATAGGATAACTGCATTACCCACACATATAATCAAAGAAAGTTTCATTGCAATCAGCAACCACGCCCGACACTTTTGAATATATTTATTATGCAACAAGGTTTGCGTTTTATGCATCAATATGAAGAGGCTGCACCGTGCATATATGAAATGCGATATGATGCATGCCTGCTTAAAATGAGCAGTCACAGGTATAGTGAGAGATGCACGACCGATGACTGTCGGTGACTATCTGGGACTCTCGGCGACTATCAATAACTATAGGTAACCAATGACCATCAATGACTATCGGTAGTCAACGCGCAATCGATACCGACCGGCGAACCCACCACCCGGCGATGGACTGACACTGCTCTCCCGGAGCTACCGGAGCCGGGTCCGGAGTGGAGGTCAGGGCTCACTGCGCCCATTTACCACCCAGCCGCGATCCCCCAGTGAGTGTTAAATCACCGTCAGACGAGTTTATCACGCGCTCGGATAAAAAGTAACTCACGGTTAGACGAATTAGCAGTCACAGAGCGGATTGCATACCATCTCGCCTCACCTCAGGGCAGTGGATCTACTGGATACACATTTTGATCACTGACTTCTCTTTACCGTTGTTCGTTTATTCGTTTGCTTGTTTATTTGTTTGTTTGTTTGTTTGTTTTTTTTTTTTGCTTATAAGTGGTTAATCAATGGGCTGAAATCAAATTTAGCATTCATTATTTCATGGGGTAAAACACACAAGGAAATATGCAGAAGACTGAGAAGAGATGTGAGCTTAAAGCTCAGCTAAGACGCAAACATGATAAATGCTTCTGCACTACAGGCGATCCGACATTCCTATCAAAGAAACGTTGGCAGCGTGTATTCGGTTTAGACCGAAACAAGCCCTGCATTCGTCGGACGGAGAAAAAGAAACAAAACCCAACGACAGATACGAATATAAGAAAACTCAATTCAATGCATAGGCGGCGGAACGGGGGGGGGGGCACCGGGGCACCGTGCCCCCCCTTGAATTCTGCAAGGGGGGCACCAATAGCAAGGTGCCCCCCCTTAAATTTGATGTATTAGTACCAGTGGCGGATTCGGGAAAACTCCAAGGGGAGGGTCATCAGAATCGAAGTGGTGCCCTTACCTATTCCCAAAATTAAAACCTCAACGGATTTCGGCCACTTAATGTTGGTGGTGCCCTATTTTCAGTTTTTTTTATTTTCCTTATTTTTGGTTAGTCATGTGATGACTGGTGCCCCTGCTAGGCCGCTGGTGCCCCTGGAAAGACTGTGGTACCTACCTACACTGCCCCCTGACAAGCCTACGGTGGGCCCTGACATGACTTAGGTGCCCATGGTCCCTGACCGGCCCGTGGTGCCCCTGACAGGCCTGTGGTGTCCTTGCTAGGCCTGTGATGTCCCTGGGCCTTGGCAGGTCTGTGGTGCCCCTGGCGAGCCTGTGGTGCCCCTGTTAGAACGCAGGTGCCCTTGACAGGTTTGTGGTGCCCCTGACAATCCTAAAGTGTCAACGACAGGCTTGTGGTGCCCTTGACAGGTCCATGGTGCCCTTGCGAGGCCGGTGGTTCCCCTGCGAAGCCAATAGTGCCCCTGGCAGGCCTCTGGTGCCCCTGGTAGGTCTGTGGTGCCCCCGGAAGACCTGTAGTGCTTTTGCTAGGCCGATGGTGCTCTTGACATGCCTGTGGTGCCACTGACAGGCCCGTGATGCCCCTGCTAGGCCTGTGATACCCCTGGCGGGCCTGTGGTGCCCCTGTCGGCTGTCAGGCCTGTGGTGCTCCTGGCAGGCATGTGGTGACCCCAGGCCCTAAGTCATGACCCATGTGACCTCCCCCTGGGATTCATGGGATTCGCCACTGATTAGTACTGCGATGGCTTCAAGGGAATTTGATACATGTAGGATAAATGGAATTTATCAAACGACAATAAGGAAGAGACAAACACATAGGTACTTGAGGATCAGCTTAACCCTCGCCGGCACAGGCCATTTTGAGTCCTTCGACGGCACAAGGGGGGGGGGGTTGGTACGACCCCCCCCCTCGCGTTTGGCCCCTGATGGAGCTAGAGCTTCGCGGAAAAAAAACGAGCGTGTTGCCCGTCACAAAAGGAAGCCAATGATACCCAATTTTAAGATCCTAGGTCATCGGCTGACCTTCCAGGTCAGGTCAATGACCCATAAATCAGGAATATCGGGACCTGTTAGAAAGTCGTAAAGTGTGGTAGCTAAGGGGTTTTCCGGGGTGCTGATCACGAATATCGTGTTAGTTTTGATCATAGATGATGTCGTGAAGCGTTTAGACCAGGTCGGGTCAGATCAGGTCAGGTCAACCGGTAGGGGTCGTGACGGGTATTCGTAGTACCTGTCATCCGCCTCGGACAGCTTCGATAACATGTTACGAAGGCACCAAAACTACTTCGTAAATGTTCCAATGGTTGCTAAACTCGAATTCAGCTCCAAAAACTAGCCTGGAAACATGTAAAACTCGAAAAAGTGAACCGAGGTCACCAAAGGTCAATGACCTGACCTGACCTTCTGGTGACCTTGACATCCACCCTAATGCATGGGCGCAACATCAAATCACATGTTTGAACGTTTGAAACCACGAAAAGCTTGCAAACGCGCGGCTAATGCGAGCCGACATACGCCGAATCGCGATTCCGGCCAAACATGGTCTCAGAAAAGAGGTCACAGGTCAAGGTCATTTGGGTCAGGGTCATGACATTTTCAGGGTAGGTGTAAAATTGATCAATGCGAGGGTACTGAAAGTTTCGTCGCGATCGGCCGCTTTTTACGCGAGTTATTCGCGAAAAACCTTAGGGGGTACATCAACCCCCCCCTGTGCCGGCGAGGGTTAAAGTTAACCACACATACGGGGGTGAACTGCCATTTTCGTTTTGTAAATAAAAAATAAAATAATAAAAAAATCATCGTGTCAGGGCTGTGACGAAAAATAAGTGGCCTAAATCCGATAAGAAAACGGGATTTGGGGGTACCCTAGGTTTGGCTCCTTGAGCTGGTGCCCCCCCTTGTCTCAAATCGTTCCGCCGCCTATGATTCAATGACAGACTCCGATGTAAGAATGAAATCCGTAGGCGGTTGTCAAAACGCGAACTGCTATTCCTGTTGCATAGCGGTTTTTGTGGTCGGAATGGTTCACTAGACAACACACTACTATTTTTCGGTCCAGTTTCCGATTGTGATGATACAGACGGCCGGCGCATAACGATGGCATGTCAGACATGTAAAGTCTAGCTAGCTGATCAGAAGACACCCACTTCTTGTGCCGTCGGTACGTTGTAAATACCACCATCTCGAGATCCTTCCTCAGCAACATGTGCAAAATGTCACACTTGCTCGAAACAAGTTATGGCTAAGCGACCATTTCATAACAGTTTTCTTATGGACGAGTTTCATGGCTAATTTATGCTGGCGATTGTTTCAAGCCTGGCAATCCACATGATCCGCATCTTCCGAAATCTATGTCATTCCAGGCTCAATACGATGCATCAGGACAACGGCAAACGGCTCCGTCGCAGCTTGAACAGATTACATCAACCAAAATGTGAATCCATAAAAACATTTCATTAGCATACCCAACTTTGGAGCTATTTTATCACGTTCAGTCATTGCCCAACGCATTTTGACATTCCTAATGATGAGCAAAGGATGTGTAGCTGACAGTTTAATCATTCGATATCCGAGTGTAATCATCAGAAAACGCGAAAATTGAATTAAATATTGGGGATTAAATGTCAAGCTCAATATCGCAATTTGCATGTGTCAAGTCAACACGTCGAAATGCCAAATTTCTGGAAAAAAATATGATGTGACAACATGATTACGAGAAACACTCACAATAAAAACTGCACATATGGCACACATGGTTGCTCTCAAGAAACTGATTGTGCCGATTTTGGTAGGTATACCCTTTCCATACAAAGCTCCACGAACGAAATGGATGGCCGCCCAAGACGTTCAGCTCAAAACATCATTGAAAACTTCCCAGACAAAAGGTCATAATCTGCTTCCATCGCCTAAAGTCGCACCACTCCCCAGCTGGTTGAAATGTCTGGGACGTGGGGCACATGCTCATGGCGCTTCTGAGAGCGTCTGAGCACAGATATCCCAGCACCGCGCCGCCATATCCGTGGCGAAGCCCCGCGTTCGCCGCTGGGCCCACCAATCTTGCACCTGGGTACCGAGAGGCCGCGCTGTCATCCCCGGAGTCCTCGGGGACCCCGCCGTGCAGTCTCCCACGGGGGAGGGGCCGCCCCGGCTCCGGCCCTATCATTTGGGGAGAGGAAGCATTGTCGCTGCTTGGAGAGCTGACACGCACCCAAGCATGAGTGCACGCGTGCATGGATGGGCTGACGATGTATTTTCCTAGGAACAGACGCAGACAGGCAGACAGAGAAAGAGAAACATACATAATGCATGCAATGCAACCATACATACATATTATGCAAATTGTTTACACATTATAAATGTTAAAGTACACGCACCAACACAGCGAGACGGCAAAAGGCACACAGACGCGCACCCCTTATCACGCGTCATCTGACTCGGTCCACCGCCGCCTCGATCAGGCGACGTCGATGTCGGTGGCACCTCCCACCGATCCATCTACATATCCTGACGCTGTCCGTCGGCTCCCTCTCCCACCCTCCGTCATCCTCTCTCTCCCTCTTTCGCCTCATGCTCTTCCTCCCATTCTCCTCTCCGCTCTGCCGTCGATAGCGGGCGGAAAGGCGGAGCGTTCGCCGCCATCCGGAGGAGGTCAGCAAAGGTCGATAACTCAACTTGGGCCGTGGCGCGGCTCTGACACCGAATCCGACCGCAGCGCGAGACAGAAACATCGTCCTCGGAGGCCAACAGTTGATTCCCTGTTTGGTGGTAACGGACGAACTTTGGAGCGCCACAAAGTCTTTGTTTGTTTTGTGGTTGATAATGTTGAGACTTGAGAGGATCTTCAAGGCAAAGCCCTATAGCTGCAAGGGGTTCGGGCAAGGGGTTAATGACGCGTGTTTCGGGCAGTCAAGTTCATTGCCATTCTACATGGTGATTCCGTAATGCGATTTACTGCTGAACTGGAGCAACAAATTACTCTTGACTTCGTATGAATAATTTAATCAGTTCCCATTTCGCAAAGGCTGTTCATCAAATAGCGTTTACTGAAACGTCGCATTGCTCGTAATCCGTGTTTGCTATCAGTTTCCCCTCCAATAAAAGCACATATTTGCACTGGTGTTAACGAAACCATGTATGTAGTAATCGGAATTGACCTCACACGTTTGGTCTTTCTGTTTGTTCGAACTGCGCAAAGCAGTCACCGACCACCGTCATCAACGAATAAGCAAGGAAATAAAATCTACTAAAGCTGAAGCAAACAAGCTATGAAATTCAGGTACGCAGAAGTAATGCCTAAATGTGTGCGACGCTTATAAGCCCCCTAACACCCAATGGCATGCATATCAGTCTCGTTATTCATTAACACGAAGCAACACCTGACAAAAACCCTCACCGTCCCTAACCCATCCCACCTAAGACAAGTGGCCCACGACAGCGCCGCCCGTGTTTGCTGAAGCGCCGCCATGTCTCTCGGCCGAACATTTCTGCTCCCTGGGCGAGGGTCGTTCGGATAGACGACGTAGGACGATGGTTACGATACGTCCGGCTGGAATGGCAGGCCGTCGGCTCAGTCCGATGGGCCCGACGATACACGGGAAACGTGTTTTTATGGAGGGAAAATATTCATGCGAGGTGATAAGTCGTGATAATGATGCGGCGGAGCTGGAGTGTGACTTGTTATGACGAGGATCAGAGATTATGAGGATGTGCAGGAAATCGAATGTGATATTTCCTGAGACGGGCATAAGAAAAACAGATGAGGTTTGTTTCCCTAAATTAATAGGCATAGTATCCATACAGCAGACATTAATTCCCTCCTACTAAAAAGAAAAATTACATCTAAACTACCAGTCTTCTCCTCTTTTCCTATAACCATAACTATCCACAATCCGAGACACATCCTAAATCGAAAAACAACACCTGGATTCCCGGCAGTGACAACTCCAATTTCCCCCAGGCAATCTGGAAGCCAGAAATTAGTTCCGATAGGCCGATAATGAAATTCCGAGGATTCTCTGTCGGCCTGTCATTGGCATCAGGAGAACAACAATGGTGCCGGTCGTCCGCACAGCATCCTTTGTGCCTCCATTCCGTGTTCTCTACTCAGTATGTCACTCTCAGGTATCGGACTATGGCACGAGAATACCGGATCTCTTCCGGCAAAATTGGTGGCGACAACTACACCAGACGCTGGATTTGTGGATTCAGCAGGCGGTAAACAAGGTGTCTGGTAGATTATCATTTTGACTGGAATTTGCAGTGCAGTGGATGTGAAATAAACGCAGGGTTTGTTCACCGAGCGAATTGATGAAACAATCTTTTTTTCGGTATATATTTTGAATTCTCGGCTACCATGATAACTGTTCTTACAAGGAGGTTCAGGGGTGAATATTTGCGCTAGAGCTGTTGAAATAGCTAGTACATCGGATAAAATACATGATGGAACGGTCCTTCTACCATTGTGCTTGGAGTAGGTTATAGATATATCACTATCTACTGATCATCTTTATGATCTCAAACGACACAAACACAATATGCAGTAATGACTACAATCTGTTGGCGCCGCGAACTAGCGGAGCAAATTGCACCCATCGGTCCAATCGAGGACGAACCGCGCCTCGGCGTCCATTCCGCTCCACAGCTCACCGATTCTTCCCGACATTGCACGGCCCAGCTGCGCCGTCGTCTCCGCAAATGCATGGCGCTCGCTCCTCTGCTGTGTCCAGACTAGGATTGGACAATCACTGAACGGAGCGGCTCTGCGGCGCTCTCTCACGCGCTGAGTGCCCGGCGCCCGCCGCAGCCGCTGATTGACCCCCTCCCCAGCTCCCCCAGCCCCCTTCCCCCACTGGTAATGGACACGGCGCCAGCCGCACTGGACCGTGTGATTGTCGTACAAAAGAACGCATGGCCGCCGTTAATCTGCCGCCCGGCAGGTGCGAAGGAGATCTGGGGCTTCGCTGGCCGACAACGGGCTTTATTGCCGTTAGTAGCTCGGGAGCTGAAAATGGTTGCTGGTCAGGCAAGGGAGGCTAGACTGGCTAGAGCCCCACCTGAAACGAAAGTTGTTATAATATGAAAGTTGAATGAAAGTTGTTATAGTGTATGATACGCATGTTGTTTAATTTTAACAGCATTCCAGACTTGAGGCTGCATGACACCAGAAATTTTATCATATGTTTTCAAGACAATCCGTAGACGGAAGAATTGTACCGAACATTATATTGTATCATTCGGTTCGTTCTGTTCGGTATAGCACCATTGCGTTCTGCTTGCATCAAAACCTTCCAAAAACAAGAACACTACATGAGCAGCATTTTTTATCGTCGTACAATCATTCCATGATCCGTAAAACTACTATTTTTGTTCTGTTCAGAATAGCAGCAGCAAGCCCTCGCTGTTTGACCTCTCTATTGACCCTCATTCAGAACGTTATCTATGAAAACAGCGAGCAGCGTCTAATGCCCGACAGTTTGTCTTCCGTCCGTGATATGTCCATTGATCCGGATATATCTGGAAACAGGTCAAGGTTCATTCGTACAACAGTTCGTCTTACATTTTCCGGCGCCCTAAAAAATAAGTGGTTCTATACATCGAATAAATACAACCGCTCAGCTCCTGAGAGGCCGCAGAAGCGGCTGCTCCCCAGGGTTTCCTGATTCCCTGTTGCTGATAACCTGATAATTTTCTCGTTTCTCAGATTCACCACGTGGAGACGGTGGGCGGCAGCACACTGGGTCCCACCGGCTTCTGACAGGAGCGGAGGTGGTCCCAACGGTCCCCTACCCACTGTTATAGCCCACCTCCCTTTCCCCCTTTCCCCAGATTCATCGCGTGGAAACGGTGGGCGGCAGCACACTGGGCCCCACCGGCTCCGGGGAGGCGCGCAGAAGGGGCAACCGGAGAGCCGTCCTACGAATGCTCGGTAAGGACGGCACAGGGCCGTCGGCCGTGCTCTGAATGCTGGGTAAGGACTTAGGAGCGACAGAATGGCCGTGCTCCGAATGCTCGGTAAGAACTTAAGGAGCTGAAAAAAGTGGAGCCGTGCTCCGAATGCTTGGTAAGTGGAGTGATACAGGGGCAACAGGTGAGCTTGGCTCCGAACGTTCGGAGCGTATATCCACGGCACAGGACCGTAGACCGTGCTCCAAATATTGGAAAAGTACGGCGCAGGGGCAACAGGAGGGCCCCAATGCTCGGTAAAAGGAGGGCACAGGGCCAACAGTGCTCTTGGTAGGGACGGTAAGTGGGCGACAGAAGTGCCGCGGGAATGCTCTCTAAAGTGGGACGGTGCGGTAAAAGGAGCATCCTTCGCGTTGGTGTGTTCAAATGCTGATGCGGTCATTTGCTTTGACTAACTAATCAAATCGCCAGTGCAATAATATAGCTTATACATACGTTAAGGAGTTCGTTTGCAACAGCTCTGGTGAAAATATACGTATTTTTATAAATTTAATCCAAACCTTTTGAATGGAAGGATTCACAAGGACAGGCCTCCGCTAAGCGAAGCTTGTTGCGTTGACCCTGTCCTCTACCCTCAGATCGCGCAATTCCGGTTCTATGGCAGATTTAGAGTCCAAATTTTAACGTGCTCACATAGCCGCGCAAGGCCGGTTCCCTCACTGACTTCGCCTGGCTACGGCCTACCACCAACCGCAACCATACCTGTCAGGAGGCCCATAAATGTCAAGCGCCCGTCGCGCTTCGAACCTGAACTGTTATAACCGGAAACGCGTCCTCTCACCACGCGGAGTCCAACGCTCTACCGACTGAGCTGTGGGACCGGCTCATTCCAATGTTTCGAAAAGGAAACTGTACGGTTGTTTCGAATGAAGAGCTTATAGATTCACAGCAAACGTTACATGACGGGAGCCTCCACATATACTTGGGGTCTTGCCAGCTACTCAACGCTAGCTATTTATGCTGGGCAGTGGGCATTTACAAATAACGAATAAAATGTTATGGCAGTGTTGGAATCTGACATGAGGAAGTGCCGAGGGAAGGGAGAATGAAAATGACCTGTCCTCGGCGTCTGTCCGCTGTTAGATGGATGACCGGTCAGAGCGATAAACGACCTGTCCTTGTGTCAATCGTTTGAGATATGACCACACAAAAGTGGGACAGTTCGGCTCATCAGAGCTTGTCTCAGCTGAGCCAAATCCGAAACTGCTACCGAGTGCGTTCAGACGCATGAGAACGTGACGTTGACACTGATGAACGTGATATTGCTGTTCTGTGTTTCGTGAACAAGATAATTTCTTGGATGCTTCGTCGTGAGGTAAATATCAACTAATCATGCTGACTATGCGTGTTTGTCCTTATTTCAGTTGCGGTTGTCATTGGATTCTTCCTCTGTTTTGCGCCCTATCATGCTCAGAGGCTGCTGTATATTTACGGGAAGCAGCTGCCAAACTACCGAGAGATCAACGAGTACATGTACTACACCACCGGCTGTTTCTACTACGTCTCGGCCACAATAAACCCGATATTGTACAACGTCATGTCGGCCAAATACCGCCGAGCGTTCAAGGTGAGTGATCAGCGTGTCATGGTAAAAACTGATCGTGGTAAATGCTGGATAGTGCGCAATGCGGTAAAAAGGAGTATTTATGTGCTGCATCATGCAAGTATCGAATAATGTGTTTCAAAATAAAATGATAAATGGCCTGAATGTTCAAGACTGCTAATCGCATAACCGACAAAGTTCCGATAGCCTGTTTCTTATGTTGCTACATGGATTTCGCACGCCAGCCACGCATCAATGACGTAAGATCGTACCTACTTAGTTTTGAAATGTAATTATGCAATTGCGTAATCATGTACCTATATGTACTGTCACTTCAAAGCTTATCAAGTATAAAGGGAAACTTTTGATTTAAATTATTCTACATTTGCCTTCGAACACAATTCAAGTGCAATATCCAACAAGAGACGGAGCTAATATCTCGCAGGTATTGTCAAACTTCATCAATGTGTAGAAGCTCAAACAAGCTTAACCTCAGCACCAAATCGGTCATTGATCATGCTTTCAACAATCAACAGGTTGAATGGGATGGCCACACACTAATCCTCAAACTTGGCTGTGGGATACCTGTGGCGTATCGAAACCTCAAACCTCCAAGCGCCTCCTTTGGAGCGTAACATATAGATGTCCGACGAAATGAAGCCATGAAATATTCAAGCGTCACATCCGAGCGTGTCCCCAGTGACGAGCGCGGGCGGCCTGTCAGTCGCAGATGACACACGAGTTGGCCTTTATCCAGCTCACGATTCTGCTACGGTTGAGTCGTGGTGGGCAAAGTGCAACAGGGCACCATATTTTATTTCACATCCTGGGTTTTAAGGCTGGGGCCTTTTCCGTTTGTTATTAATTTACATGTGGTAAGGGCAGTTTAATATTTGGATAGGTGAAACGCATATATGCGCATATCTTACTTGGCGATTGGTTAGAAGATAAAAGGCTGATAAATCTGGTCTGGAGGATCTGAAAAGTAAAGGTACGATGTAATTCATAGTCACAAAACGGAACGAGAAAACGGATTAATTTTCTACATAGTCACAGTTTTCTTCAAACATCGTGTAGATCAAATGCAAGACACGTAGCAGGGCACTAAGCACATAGTTACCTAGTCCCGAACACGGTTAAATCGAAAAACAAATCGGAAAAAAATCCTTTCTCATTCCCAAAATCCCGCCTACCCTCACAGACTGTTGAATGCTGACCACTCCGCCCTGACATGTCAACTGACCCCTCCCTCCTCCCCCACAGGAGACCCTGTGCGGCCGCCGGTCGCCGCTAGGTGTCAGCACCAGTACCACGGTGATGGCGCTGTCCCGCCGCGCACGGGCCACCTCGGCTGACCGCGACTCCGGCTCCGGATCGAGCCCCCGCGCTCTCTCCTCGCCCTCCCTGAACGGCACTCTACCCACCGGCCGGAGGGCGACCCTGCGCATCAACGGCGTCAGTCATGACGTCTCCATGGAAACCAGGGTGTGAGTGATGTGTCGAGCTTGTGAGGGTGAGTGGTCAGATGGCGTCTGAACGGATATTTCTTTTTGGTCGTTCGGTAAAGTGGCGCAAGAGGACTCTAAGCTCTAGTTTAAATGCCAGCAACATACGGTTCTAAAATGGTTGATAATTTCAATATCGTTGATGCAAAAAGTTAGATAGGTGATAACTGATTTGTATTCAATAGGTAGTGAAGATAATTGCGCATAAATTCTCACAAATAATCCTCGTGCACCGTTACATTTTGTCGTCAGTTGACACTGGCTGAGCCATCACAATTTGTCAAAATTGTAGTGGCGCAGAGCGAGCTTGGAAAGTGGGATGCGAGCTTGGAGAAAGATGCCAGCCTATAAAGTACCACTACACACCTTTGAAGTTATATGAATGTGCGTGCGAGCGATAACTCATTTTTGTCATGTGTGCGCATTGGTATACCTATTTGTGAGGCTTGTCCTGTGAGATTGAATTGATGTTGGGCGGGCTGTGAATGACTGGTCAGACGAAATGATGAATAGTCGTGTTTTGCGATGCGCGTGGCTACTGACATCTCAACGAGCTGTCTGTCAGAGGTTAAGAGGCATTCTACGCTTTGTGGTTTGCTGTTATGTGAATGTTGTCACTATAACACTGACGATCTCACTCGATTGTCAATATGCCAAATCAAGGACCTCTGTATGCGAGGTCTATGGCCAAAGGTAAAGGCATTGTGCTAGATGTTGTGGAACCTGAGATACAAAACAATATGTGACTGTTCGCGCAGCTTTGCAAAGCCTGTGGGTTTGTAAGAAGGCATTGAATGTGGTCGAACAACGAATATCCAGCGATGCGTTGCCAAATTGCGCCACAGAAATCGATGTAAAACTCAATGGAGGTAAGTCAGGCCACTTAACCCTCGCCCGCACATGCCATTTTCCCATCCTAGAACGCACATGGGGGGGGGGGGTGGTTGCCACCCCCCCGCGCCATTTCGTTCCTGTTGGAGATAGAGCTTAGCAGTAAAGACCAAAAAGATTCTTTGGGAAGAGACGAATCCAATGATACCCAGTTTTACCTTCTCAGGTCAGTCATTGACCTTCCAGGTCAGGTCAAACTAAAAAATGTTGCTGTTTTGGGTCACCGTTGGATATCAAGTGCGCTGCTTATCAAATACCGATGACGATGCTGTTTTCTGGTGCCAAGCCAGCTAGAACCTCTTTGTCACACTATCCGACCAGAATTGTGCTGCTGAGGTCATTTCAGGTCAAGTTAGGTCAAGGTCAATTATATGTGTTTGTATGTCTGTGTGTGTCTGTGTGTATACTGATGTGTGCACCGATTGTTTTTGGGTCCATATCACATGAAATCATGATCTGAGAAGCTTTTACCAAAAATGCAGTCAAAAAACTTCACAAAAAGTAAATTCAGCTTGCCTAAAACGCAATTATCTTAGATGACCTAGGTTGACCTTGACCCTGACCTTGACCCCTGTACGTCGTCGAACAACATGTTCCATGATAGGTGGGAGGTAAGACTGGCAAAAAAGGCCGAAATCAGGGTGTCAAAAGCTCACAAGGCCCATGGCAAACGCAAGATGTTGAGAATTGGCCATTTGGGTCATGACATGACCTGAAAAACAAGGTCATATCTCCGGAACCAAAAATCACAGAAACTTGAAATTTTCAGTGGACATCAAGAAAGGATAGACGAGCAGCTATACGAAAAATCAGCCTTCTAGCTCTAAAAATGTTGAGTGCAGAGCAGAAAAACTGCCTGGGGGGGTGGCAACCACCCCCCCCCCCCCATGTGCGGGCGAGGGTTAAGATGAAGAAAGTCGCTCCTTACGGCTAACGCACCAAATTATACCGCATTTGTTTATATCAAATCATTATATATTTCAACTTACACACGCACACATTCACATCACATACCTAGCATCCATACCACTGATGTTCCATCTTCACTGCCGTGGTGTTCAGGGCAGTTACATCGGTCGTCAGCAGATTACAGGTAGTCGTATCCGCGTCCCAGACCAGCGAGGGGCGCTCCCGCCAGTCCAACGCGTCCAAAACGTCCACCGACGAGGGGACCGCCATAGCCGCCGGCACCGATGGAGCCGACGCCGAGGGGGGCAACACCCAGACCGACGGGGCCTCCCAGACCGAGCTGGCCAACACCGCCGTAGCCGTAGCCCTGGCCGTAGCCGAGACTTCCGACGCCCCGGCCGAGAGCGCCCACGCCCCCGCCGAGAGCGCCCACGCGGCCGAGACCGCCCAGGCGGCCGTAGCTGGGACGCAGCACGGACCGCTGGGTGTACGGGTTGACCGGGGTGCCGGCAGCGCGGACCGCTGAGATGCCGCTCACGCCACCGACGCCGGCGTAAGAGGCGGCGGTCGACGCCACCAGACAGACCAGGATAGCCAGCTGCAGGGAGGGGGGGGGGAGGTCAGATAAGGAGGTCTATGAAAACTGAACAGCTCTAATTGGCACATACATTGAAGATAATATAAAAAAACTCCGCATCCTTCCAAAAAAATACAAGCTATTCATTAGGCATCGCAAATATAAAAAATTGCCAAATAAAATTGATATTTTGTTTCAGAATGTTGAAACTACACAAATTGGTCATTGCAAATAAGTAAGCTGGGTCAGTCTGAGTCAGATTTTTGCGTGAATGACTCGTAAAATATATTCATTGTAAAACTAAAAAATAGAAGAACAAAAAATACAACGAAATTTATGCATGCACCTACCTATAATTGAGCCAAAAGCTAAAATATAATTATTATTGAATTACTATACTTAATAATCATTGCAATCAAAAACGTTTTCAGTCAACAAAGCCATTCAAAGAGAGGAACCCGAACCGGACTATACAGTTCGTAAGAAAAGTGGTTGTGAAACGACACTCTGTCGTACTGTAAGCACCACCAACACATACCTTCATGATTTCTGGTGAATTGTAGCGGTGCTGGAGGGCTGAGATCAGGAGCTGACTGCGGTGAAGTTGGAGGTGCAGGTGGCCTTTTATACCCACCTCATGCGGTGGACCACCCTCTGCAGAATCGCCGCACGAGATGCCCCGCCTGCGCCAGAGCGTGGGAGCAACGGTGCACAAGGTCTGCAGAGGGCCGTTCCTTTGTCCCAATGTCGGGGATATTCGTGCGGCGCGGGAAAATTGGTCAGGGTTTTTAATAAGTTGAGATGAAATACAGCTTCAGCTGAGCGATACCAGGAAAGTGAGCGGCATTGCAAAATAAAAAGTTACATCCGTTCAGATGAATTGACACGATCCATTTGAGGCTTGATTCATATAAACCGCAGGCTGTGACAGATGTGACAGGTATGGTAGGTCAGTCGTCCGCTCCGAACGGACAAATGAACTATGAGCCATAAATTAGTCAGGTCATTTTCGGCTTCCTAGACGAAACGGTGCTGGGTCGATTGACAGAGTTTGCCTAGAATCAGCACTTATGTAGGAGACAAGGCAGCTAACACGCTCTCTACCACCTTCTTCAACTATACAAAGTCCCACGTCAATCGCGAAGCAAATATGACTCCAGTGTTGTATGACTCCTATCTATGTACTTGACAGGATAAGGTAACCATTTACGGCCTCGTTAGGTTTCATTAGTAGCGAAATAATTCGACTCAAATGACCGTTGTGCTACGCTTCATCGTGCACCAATAAGGTGCAATGTTTAACTTTGAAAAATAATAAAGTGGTTGAGTTTCCACACTGCGTGCAAGAGCAGCCTGAACTACTTTCGAACATATTGCTTCATCGGAACCTCAACATTTCCGGTGCGTCGATAGTTAGTGAGCTGAACATAGAGCTGCTCCGTTCATATTTGCTAGTTTCCTACCACATGCAAATGATGTTTCCTTTTCAACATCCGCGTGCCCGTTGTCTAACTTTCCCTTGGATTCCCGATCGTCCGTATAGGTGACCATTGTACGGGCCATGTTCCCAAGGTCGCCACCACGATCCAAGCAAGGAAATCTCGGTCAGCGGCAGTTGGCCGGTGTCGAGCTTCACCGATTTATAATGGGTGTGAAAAAGCAGCCAAACAATCAATCAAAGATATGGTTTTATGCAATTCCACATTGTTGCAAGACCCGAGACCGTTATGAGATCAGGAAATCAGGAACGCCCTTTCCCTCTGAAGTCTAACACCTAATGCCATATCAGCACGGTGCGATATAAGCTTGAACACATGCTGTGAACAAATAGACCATAAATAACCGAAATATTCTTAAAGTGTCAAGAACTTACAATGTGATTTTGTCGTTGGCACCAGTTTCACTCAGATTTCTAGTGCTGTCTAGTAGCTATTGTGTAAGGTAATGAGATTGATTATCGTCCGTGGAATATTATCACCTCCGATGACCTAGAAAATATTCACGCACAACTCATATAACGCACGCACGTTGCTCGAACTAGATACGTTTTCCTGCTCTCGTCTGAGCCGTTTTCCTATGCAGACAGATGGTTTACCCGACCCGACCCTCGGAAATGACTCACGGGTAGAAGAAACCACGCAGTATTATCGGTCTATCGGTGAACAAGCCCCGCGCCCGTTAGTCGTCATTCTTTCAGTGATTCGTCAGCACCCATTCATTGTAGAGAATGGCGTGTCTAATAGGAAAACACGCCGAATATCTACAGCTGCGCGGTGAGATCAGAACAGCACACATCATTACAAGACTGTGAGGCGGATCTTCAGCTCACACGGTCCGCACTCTGCAAGATGCAGGGACTTTAGGCACCGCTAAAACGGCGCCTGTGGCCTACAGACAATGAGGGGGGGGGTAGAGATGTGTTTGCAGTTCTGCAACACCACCAATGAATCAGCACTGGAAGCTCGAAAATCTGTATGTACTTTCATAACGCCACCCGATCAAAGAAATAGTTCGCAAAGGCACTGGGTCCAACCACTAAAAGAACGTTCATCAGTGCACACTAGTGGTGTCAATCGGTTACCGAAAATTTCGGTTACCGAAAAGATATGCTGACCGATTTGGTAATCGGTCGGTCAGGCCCCCCAAAAATCGGACACTTTCGGTCACCCTGCCAGTGAAACCATTTTCAAAAAGAGTAAGTATTCCATTTTTGCCTAGTTAAAATGAAATTTATTGGGATGTTAATAATAGAGTTGCAAAATTTCCCCCAAATGCCAAATGCCACATTTTGGCAACCTCATTAGCCAACCCACCCAGCAGGCAGCAGCCACCCATTGTCCAACCACAACGACAAGCAGGCTGATTTTGACTCAGTTGGCCCCACAAGTACACACAATTTTGAAACTCTATTCCAGTCTAACTGTTAAAATTTCACCTGTAATCAAAGAAGTATTGCCTACAAAAATCATTATACAGTCATCAAAAATGCAAGGACAAAAATACCTTGAATTGGAATTACTGAAATGTGTTTCTGAAGACTGGACAGTTAGCACTTAGCACTTAGCAGTGATCACATTTACATTTCACAGGTGTTCTACTATCCCACATTCTCCTTAAATATTGCAGGTACCAACCAAATGTTTGAAATCTAGATGACCACAACATAAAAACATAGGAATCTTGACAAAAACTACATCGGCCCATGTCCGATTTCTGGAATCGTCCACATTCCAAACACAAGGAAGGATTTCGAAACAGATGCGCCATAACAGAGACTTTAAACCAGCTGATAAAGTTGCTGCAAAAAAGTTTTGGATTGTTACATGCTGCCTCGTGAATTATTTTATTGATGTAAATGATCCAACACGATATTGAATCCTAATGAAATCAACATTGTGAGTGTAATTCACTACAAGAAAATTAATTTCCCTTCAATAATTCGGCCAAAAGGGCATATAAATAAATATTACGTCATCAACATACATCCTTTCGTTACGGAAGAGAGGATCTTAAAAGTCAATCCTTGGTTCTTCTATTACTTTTTGCGCCACTTTGGCGCCACTTTGTAGGCATTAATTTTGTCTGCATATTTTGTTTTCTTGTAAAGATAAGGCAAACAAGAGATAAGACAAAGTGCCTGTGTAATGAATTTTCATTTCATTTTTGGGACAAAATTCAAGCTTAGAGCTACCTAATACCTGCCTTTTCAGCTGGATTTTCAGTGTCAAATTATTTGTAGAGTATCTCAGACCACATCTCAAGACTCAAGGCAAGTTTCCAAGCAGTTTTGATGTGTTTTGTGGTGTTTTGATTCCGCCTTTTCTCCTAGGGAATGTTGTCATGAACATACCTATTACCAACCATTTGACTATACTAATTGATCGTGCTTTTGCAACATGAATGAGCATTCTTCCTTACATAGACCACAGTAGATTCTTGACAATTCTTATCAACTAAATCTGTGAAATGCTGAGGTCCATGTGTTGCTATACCCTCAGCAATGTAACTTCTATCACAATATGTATTTTGCAGTGGCTAAGAATTGACTGAACTTGGACTGAAATGCCATTTCCCATTATTTTCCATCAGAATTTACCAAATATTTTAATTTTGGGGTAGAGTAATAGCAAATAGAAGTTCGGTCAAATTTCGGTCAAATTTTGGCTTGGGATGTAATCGGTCGGTATTCGGTCGGAAATTTTTCCCAAATTTTGGTTTCGGTCGGTATCGGTCAGACATTTTTTGGAAAATGACATCACTAGTGCACACGATAAGATCTTTTGACGCTATCGTCTTCAAGTCGATCATAGCAGTCTCTATATCGTCATTCAGTGTGAGACCTCACTGCAGTGCGTCAAACCGGTTAGGGATGGGACGAAGGCCGTGTGACTGTCTGCCTGCAGAACACAGAGATGACGGAATCCTGGAATCGCAGTGTCGCAGGGACGCGCAGAGATTCACTTTCCTTCACTCTGATTAGAGATGGTGATTGGTGACCTTGGCCCTGATTAGTGATCACGCAAAACTGGCTGAGTTTTGAGCAATAAAATGCGCACAGTTGTAGTTTCCTGTGGACAAGGTCAACTTGTACGCTGAAGTAGAAATCCGTTTTGGGTATCATACAGGCAAGGCACGATTTTCTCATGAGCCCATCTTTACATACGAACACTAAAAAAGGAGCCATGTCGACGTGCAGAAAAAGGACGCTTAGCTCTCACAGCAAGGGCGAACAGCTGGGCGAACCGACTGGCCCACCGCCAGATTAACATTCGATAGTCAATGTGTGTGACTATGTGTCAACTAAAATCGTCCCACTGCGCAAATAGCGCTGTACACTTTCAGCATTATAATCAATAAAACATGTTACCCAAATACATTCATTTTCATTTGCATACCCTGCAACACATCACAAAGCGTTTTGATTCCGATAGACAACAATAATAAACCCATTGTAAGAAAATAAAGGTAAGAAAATAAGCCTAAAAGAAGTTTGGGGTGAAGGTCCTTTATTTGACACCTGCAACAAATTTTTCGCAAGACTAGCGGTCAGAAACATTTCATCGATTAGATCTATGCGAGAACAAATGTGGATATACAGGGTGTCCGAGAATTACCCGAATATTTATTTTCTGGCTAAAAGTACGATTGCGCTCGATTCTAATGATATACAAGCATCATACTTTTATAAGATATCCCTTAGCTATCGAGCTTGGGGACTGTGTGCTTTTGGTGACCGGTAACGACTCGAGTCAGTTATTATCCAGAGTCAAGTAAGAGTAGTCCTTTTCCGTTTTCAGCTTAAGCCACTAATAGGCAACCATGGTAAATCAACTCCCGTTCTCAACTTTGTAAACGGACTTCGGAGAGTTTCAGCAGCTCATCTGCAAGCAGTTAAGATTGAGCAAAGCGCAATTATATCAGCTAACGAAGCCAGAGAGAGCAAGAGATAAACCTGATTGACAAGCTTGGGCTCGGCCAAAAAGGGTCATCCACCAGTTGTCAAACGGGTGGTTGTCAAAAATGGACAGCAATCGTCACCGATCTAGCTAAAAACTAGCTTAACGATACATCAGGATTATCTAAGAAAACATCAGTCTACTTTGCACCACTATCTTCGACAAAATTTTGGAATTTGGGGTCCTTCGCCTAAAAAAAATATGCAAGAACTACGGGAAAAGCAGCGAAAATCACTACAATTCATCCCAAAAACATAACATACAACAAAAAAAGTATATTTGAAGCACACTTTGTGGTTTAACGAAAGTATTCTGTCATTTGAACCGCCCGAAAAAGGCGTGTGTGAACATCAGATGGCTACAACGCCCCACCAGCAGAGACGGCCAGGCACCCGTCCAAAATCAAACTGTGAGACATTTTGAGCCACCGTGAACTCATTCGGCTTGATATGATGGCCCATAGACAACCGTTAGCACAGAGTGCTACTGCGGTAATATTCTACCAGTACAAAAACTGGATGCGTGAACCAAATGGCCATGAACGGGTTTGTTTTGGAAATCAAATCTGTTGGAAGCCAAAGATCGCGCCATGTTCAGACACGGAGCTTCTCCACTTCAGATGTAAAAAACGCGGCAAAAATGGTGTAGGCAGAAATTTTTGGTTTGGGGGATAATGCCTTATGGCCTGGGATGGGAACACTTTGATGTTAAGTTCATCTTATACGATCGTATTATCCTTCGGCAAGAAGTCAAAGAAGGTCTACACCCAGTTTCGGGAGACCCGTAAAACAACTGAGTCCAGCAATGCTGGCATTTTCCATAATTGTCGGATGATCTTGTAACAAGCGTATCTATTGCATGTGTTATTTCACAGCCACCCTAGTTGACTATATAGAACGATAAAAAGAAAAAAGCGCAATCATGTTTGCCTGATTTTAGTCAAAATTGATGTGAAAATGATCAATAACATGCCAAAAATTGTATTGGTTCTTTAGTTTACCAAAGAGAAACAAAAGAGACATTTTCACATCAATTTTGACTATAATGTCTTCACTCATGCCAACCATCCAAACGATTAAAAACTTGCCTTATTTTATACGCTAATTAACAATGTTCGGGTAATTCTGGGACACCCTGTACGCACAATACGCACTTCACAATTCTAGCTTCGTCCCTTTTCTTTTGCGTTTATCAGCATATCTCAAGCACTGTCGACGGGTGACCCACCCATTGTGACACTCTTTATACACAGCAACACGCAGGCATTCGATGCAAAGCATCAACACGGATCTATTTCCTTTGTTACCTTGGTGAGTCTACGGTCATTCATTGTCCTCAGTCAAGTTCATGAGCTTCACAGCCACAATGAGGAAATTTCCAGTTAAATAGTCTGAGTACGCGCCGACAGTGTCTTTGTCGTAGTTGCAGGCTTGTAATTAAAAAATATAATCAGCATGCACTGATTTTCTACAAATAGCAAACGGTTAACGGCGGCTAACTACTGTACTAGATCAATGTATATTTTTAAAATTGGAGTTGAAAATTCTAATGCATTTGTTAGCCTAGAACTGATGAGACGCAACAGTATGGTCGAAATCTTTGAAGCTGCGTTTCATAAAAAGGGCGCCGGAACCCTTTACATCTGTGCACCGGTAGCCAAACGGGCCTGTTTCAAATACACCGCCACACTTGGTTGTCAACTATGGCTCTGACAATACAGCGGTGGTATAGTCACGTTTTCCTAACCGCAGGTGGCTGTAGTCACGATGTTGGTCGTGTACCAGACAGATGTGCGAATGTCGCAGACAAAGGAGTTCGAATCGGTTGACCTTGCATAAGCAAGCTCGTCTAGACCTCAACCTCTGCCTCAAAATTCCTATGTCGGTGTATCCGTGGTAAAAAAGTAAATTTTAGAATAACAGTCATAAACGTTTCAGGCACAGATAACAGTAGTACTACTGTTATCTGTGTTTCAGGTAATCTTAACACCGTGGATATGATTAATGGGTCATGGCTTAGCGTTAAGGGTAACGGTGCACGCATAATGCGCAGTTCCACTTAATGCCTCATTTGAACAAAACGGTACAATGCGGTGCGGATCCGGATGCATTTGAGGCCATTTTCCTGGCTACGTGCATCGCCACCGTTACCTTATTTCAGGGTCTTCCGTTAAATATTCTAATAATATCAGTGAGAAAAGAACAGTTAAATTCCTTGCCAGGTATAGCCCGCACTAAACTTATGGTTTCCCACTGTCTTATGCGTGAACAACTGAACAATGCATGGATAATTTTCTGATCGGTACCTCTCAATTTCCTCAAATGTCTTTCCGAGGCGTTCCCGATTGCCGCATGCATGAAGTTGAATCATTATAGGTTCTTTCTTTCTCAAATCCGTCACAAAATGTTAGAGAAGAAACTCTCGATAAAACATTTGCTCGAAAGTCAAAACATGAGTAACGTTCTTTTTGGAGGCCCGCAGAGCTCGGCGCGAGTTCATCAAATGCCAGTGTGGACCCTCAGGAGTCCGGATACTGCGTGGAGCCCCCAAAAGCCAGTATACTTATAACCAACAAAGGCCCGCATATGATGTAGGCCCCTCAATGCGGTGAAATGCTCTGGACACGAGTCATCGCAGACGAGAGCACGCCGCAAACGATCAGTGCCGCTCTTTCTTTGGGATATGACCGGACAGGGATATCGGGTGGCCCCCTGTAGGAGCGCTAGGCTCTCACTAGAGCGGGAACGGTGATTGGGTAGGTTGCTGGAATGGTTAAGGCTGGATCAGCGTTAGCTTGTCAATCACTATAGTGCAGCAGGACACAGGGTTGTCCATACCTTATTTCGAGCGAGCGCGAAGTGAGTCTTTTCATCATAACGGAAAAATCTAAGCATGTATGAGCGGTCCTGCCCGGCCCGACCCAGCCTATGTATAACGCGTTTGAGAGGCCTGTATCCTATCTTAACTCAAAACTAATGTTAAGGTGGGATGGTCACTTTAAGAGGACCGATTTTCAAGCTATATGATTTTCACCTGCCATAGCAAAAACCTAAGTCCATTATAGATCAACGGTAAGAGTTTGTGCACATCTCAGACATCTCGAAGAAGGTAATTCGCTGCTTTCTGTTGTGAGTCGCTGCACCTTACTTAGAACGACGACCTCCCCGCGTAAGCCGAGACCTCAGTTAATCTCCCTGCGGAGAAGCGTTGCTCGGTTCCAGAGAGCTAAATTACCGTAAAACGGGGTGAAGTGAGACAGTGGGGTGAAGTGAGACACAAGATACACTCCTTCCTATAATGAGCAGTTTGTTTAGGAACTGAGCAAAACGGTGCAAACTTCCATGAAGTTTGCCCGGAAGTTTGCGCCGTTTTGCTCAGTTCCTAAACAAACTGTTCATTATAGGAAGAAGTGTATCTTGTGTCTCACTTCACCCCACTGTCTCACTTCACCCCGTTTTACGGTACATATAACTATTTAGATGGGAAGGATCGGGACTGAAGTATGGTGTAACGTGGAAGTCATATCTTACTTATTCAGAACCAATGGATAATATGCGTAAATTTACTTAAGCATGGCGCGTGCTTAAGTCTGTCAACTTCTTGGGCATGCCACGACTCATTCTACAAACCGCACATTCCCGGAGTCGGGGTCGAGGCAGTTTGAATAATTCCGGCTCCGATTCTGGTTCGTTGCCACGACTCCGGGCGACTCCGACTCCGACTCCGAATCAGAAACTCTTCTGCATTCTAGTCAGTTTTGGGATACGGTAAAAGTTTAAGTCAGTTTTCAAGCTTCCTTTCAAGTCATCTTGTTTTTACCAGGGAGTGAAAATCTCTAGCAGAGTGCATTGGCATCTTCTTATTCAGTATTTTATGCTGAACACTGATGTGGTGTTGTTTCGTGCTTTGAATTTCGATCATACGTTGTTCACGCTTAGACTTGATGTGTGTATGTAGTATGTACCACGCCTTTCATCTCAAGGAGCATGGATCGCATCGCTGAGATCACTGATCTGGGGAAACTGAAACTTATATCTAAAATATGGTGCTCGAACCGTGATCTGAAATCTGATGAGTGAACTGTGATCTGGTGTTGTTTACAGCAGATATCATGCATATATTCAGAATAAAAATGTATCCTTGATGCCTTTGGAATTTGCATAAGCGCCGGCACCTGCAGAGGACAGGGAAACGAGTCGCCAATTCAAGATTTTCAACGGGAGCCTCCCTAAAAATTTGGTCTCTTACTAACGTTTGTTTTCAGAAGCTTTGGAAATACGTCTTTGTCATTTCTGCGAAAATAAAGGGCCGATATCCGAGAAGAAAATGGATGAGCGACTGATTTATAGATGCCGATTGTCGAGCCCAGTCGGATAAACACGACATGCGCAAGAGTCTATGGTGCAGTCCCGAACATCCGATGGGCAGAGTCGATGTTAACTTCCAGTAAAATCGATAGAACTCTTCTGAACCACTGAAAACACCAAATCATTTCTGTTTCAATGCAGCGTCATTCGTTTCACCACGACGGGACTGCTGATGCGAATTTAACGGTCAGTTCGGTGTTGGGCAAAACCGCTCCCACTGAAGTGTGTCAGCAAAAATAATAAAATCACACTAGATTTGATGCCATAAAGATTGGTGCTAGGAAAGTAAATAATTTATGTTACGGGAAAGACATAAAGGTGACACATCCACCCAGGGAGTTCCCCACCAAAACTGAACACCGTTCCACCCTCTCACTCGGTGCTCTATCGGGCAGTCCCGCTTACCCCCAGGGTCTCGCCACATCTGCCGTTGGAAGGTGGGGCTGTCGACGGCTCAGGAAACTGGTGGGCATCCGCCACGGACGGTCGGTCACTAATTTCATCCTCGGTGTCGCATTTCCTGGCAGCGGCGTGCACGCTATATAAGGGCCGGTGTCCTTGTTGGTCACTGTGCAGTGTTCCACCGGAGCGGCACCATGAAGCAGCTGGTAAGTGGCATACGTCAGAGGTGTGAACATCAAACCATGTGGCATGAACATGCATGGAATGATCAGCAAAGCGGCATTGCAAGACTAGTGCAGTGATTGACGAAGCGACGGCAAATGTGCGATATGAAATAATACGGAAGGGAGTGGGAACGCAAAGAGGTGTTGTGAGTCATATTTGTTGTCAAGAAACTTCATATGTCTGATGAACTCACGGACTAGATTTATTTGACATATTTCACTTTATGTGTATATTTAAGCACTAGTTTCACTTTATGTGTCGCTGCTTGTCACTCAGATGAGCTTCATCAAATACGGCTAGGAATGAATGTGCTGAAAGCCGATATCTACCGCTTAGACAAACTTATCTCGTGTGCTTTCTAACAAATATAAATCGCTTGTTTTCCCTTAGGTTCTGCTTTTAGCAGTTTTAGTGACAACAACAATCAGCAATGGCTTCATCCTGGGACCTCTTGGCGGGTAAGTTCGGGCTCCAGCTTGATTTCTTGACAGTCTGCTACAAGCAATTCATTTTCCACTTTCGACTGAATGACTGTAACCAGGCATTAGAAAATGATATATACATATGGATCAGGGTATCGGTTTTCGATGGATTGGAACAACGCCGTTCAAGAATGATTTATAAACGAGTTAAGTAGCATCAAAACATGAAGACATCGTAAAACCACCAGCGTAGTTTAAAACAAAGATTAAGTTTCAAAACAACTTGTAGATGTCTTATAACTTGTTATCAATCAAAATAAGTGTTTGTTGCCCTCCTTACATTGTTTATAAAATAGAAAAGATGCGTGATATAAGAGACATAATCAGAGCAATTCAAAATAAAATGCACCACTTTTGACTGACATTTTCAAAACATTTCAGTGCAACGGTTTCACTGTAAAAGCTCGTTTGTTGGCCACGGGCCTGAATGATAAATAACAGTTATAAAAAAACACTAGATACACTACCTTTTGTTTTTTTATAGTTCGAATGTTAATCGTAGTTGCAGCAGCGAACAAATTTATTATTCTTAGATGGCAAAGGGCTCAGCCATTCTTCCAGCAACGTCTCCAACTGGTTAGTCCTGAAAGTTAATAGCTATTCGTGAGCGATTGGCCGAGCCGTTCAATAAGTAAGTTAATATGGAGATGAGGTATGCACACGACAGGATGTGTAAATAAGCTCCAGGAATAAGCTAGTCGTGCCCTTGAGCGGCGCTGACGCTTTGAACTAAGCTTTGGACGGAAGCAATCTCACATCTAAACGCATCCAAAGCGTGGACAATGAGAAAAAATATAGCCATTTTGGCTATGAATCATTTGCCATCATGATTATGAATCATAAAAGATCGCAGCAGATGCTTGAAATTTTCCACTGCATCCTCAAATACCGCTGAAAAGGTTAATCAAGCAATCGCGGCAAATAAAAACGGGTCTGAAGCTGACCCCAGGGCAACGCCTGTCAGAAAATGAAAAAGAGAACATCAAAGTAGCCGGATCAAAATCAAATTTCGCTACCTCAGCATTCCAACGTTCTCTTGTAGTTTAGTTAGCAACTGGAAGTGAGTGGCTTCGAAGGTCAACCAAATACTCTGGAAAGAAATTATAAAACATCTCAATAATGATAACTACAGTAAAAATAATAGTTATTATGCTATGTGGTATTAACAATAATTACGGAGCGAGCGAAGCGAGCGTAGTCTTTCCTTAGATTAACGGAAATTTCTGAGTATGAGCGGCCGGCCGTGGTCACGGTTTTGCGAGGCTTATATCTCAGCAACCACTTGACCGATTTACATGCGGTAATTTTTGTAGGGTAGCTTCATTCCTTCTACCAAGTATTGGACTATTCCCGATGCACGTGGGTGACCCCTTATGCACGTGCCACGTGCAAAACGAAGAGGTGTCACTTTTGTAATAGTTGCAATATCTCGGTAACTACTGGGCCGATTGCGCTGAAAGTTGGCATGTAGGTAGGCACCCACTAGGTAATGCATATCAATGTGCCAGAGTTGGGGTGCTGCTGCACGTGCGCACGTGCAGGGGTCGATTCCAGATCTCGAGAACGGCTGGACCGATGGCGCTCAAATTTGGTACACGGTTACGGAGCAGTTAGTAGGGTGCCGTGCACAAGTCAGTTGGGACCCATTTTGCACGTGCGCACGTGCAGGGTGCCGCTTCCAGATCTCGAGAACGGCTGGGCCGATTGTGCTCAAATTTGGCACATCGCTAGAGACCGGTTAGTAGGGTGCCGTGCACAAGTCAGTTGGAGGTACCCCCTCGCAATTTCGCACGTGCAAGGCCCACCCTCTCGCTCGCTCCGTTAGTCGCCCCATAAGGCGCTATACTGGTAATAGTTACGGAGCGAGCGAAGCGAGCGTAGTCTTTCCTTAGATTAACGGAAATTTCTGAGTATGAGCGGCCGGCCGGCCGTGGTCACGCTTTTGCGAGGCTTATATCTCAGCAACCACTTGACCGATTTACATGCGGTAATTTTTGTGGGGTAGCTTCATTCCTTCTACCAAGTATTGGACTATTCCCGATGCATGTGGGTGACTCCTTATGCACGTGCCACGTGCAAAACGAAGAGGTGTCACTTTTGTAATTGTTGCAATATCTCGGTAACTACTTGGCCGATCGCGCTGAAAGTTGGCATGTAGGTAGGCACCCACTAGGCACTGCATATCCATGTGCCAGAGTTGGGGTGCTGCTGCACGTGCGCACGTGCAGGGGTCGTTTCCAGATCTCGAGAACGGCTCGACCGATTGCGCTCAAATTTGGTACACAGTTAGGGACCGGTTAGTAGGGTGCCGTGCACAAGTCAGTTGGGACCCATTTTGCACGTGCGCACGTGCAGGGTGCCGCTTCCAGATCTCGAGAACGGCTGGGCCGATTGTGCCCAAATTTGGCACATCGCTAGAGACCGGTTAGTAGGGTGCCGTGCACAAGTCAGTTGGAGGTACCCCCTCGCAATTTCGCACGTGCAAGGCCCACCCTCTCGCTCGCTCCGTTAGTCACCCCAAAAGGCGTTATACTGGTTATTATGTGGCAACATGCCTTGACGCCGATGAAAGTTGGTGAGTGTCCAGTTGACGGGTCCGACGTATCCCTGTACCTCTGACCTCCCGATTTGTTTGCGCTTCAGCGTGTCGCCGATCGTGATCAAGGCACCCGAGCCGCCGAAAAAGGAGCCGCCGCCTCCACCCGTGGTGGTGCACGTGCACGCAGGTCACGGCGGAGGTCATGGCGGAGGTCACGGCGGGGGTCACGGCGGGGGTCACGGCGGAGGTCACGGAGGAGGTCATGGCGGAGGTCATGGTGGAGGTCACGGCGGACATGGAGGAGGTCACGGACCTCCGCCACCGCAGATCATCATCCTGAAGGGCGGCGGCGGCCACGGCGGGGGCGGCCACGGCGGCGGCGGCGGCGGTCCTCCGCCACCCCCGCCTCTGACCATCCTGCCCATCATCATGCCGCCCCATGCGGGAGGTGGTGGAGGAGGTCACGGACCGCCACCAGGAGGGCACGGCCCGCCACACGGACCCCCGCCAGGTGGACATGGTGGTCCCCCGCCCGGAGGTCACGGTCCGCCACCCGGAGGTCATGGTCCGCCGCCCGGAGGTCACGGTCCGCCACCCGGAGGTCACGGTCCCCCCGCCCGGAGGTCATGGTCCCCCGCCAGGAGGTCATGGTCCGCCGCCCGGAGGTCACGGTCCCCCGCCCGGAGGTCATGGTCCGCCGCCCGGAGGTCATGGTCCCCCGCCCGGAGGTCATGGTCCGCCGCCAGGAGGTCATGGTCCCCCACCCGGAGGTCACGGTCCCCCGCCCGGAGGTCATGGTCCCCCGCCCGGAGGTCATGGTCCGCCGCCCGGAGGTCACGGTCCCCCGCCAGGAGGACACGGAGGACCCCCGCACGGAGGACCCCCACACGGAGGACCCCCGCACGGAGGACCGCCCCACGGCGGTGGCGGTCACCCGCCGGGTGGCGGTGGCCACGGCGGTCCACCAGTCCACGTGGTCCCGATCCACCTCCCGCCGGGCGGCGGCGGCGGCGGCGGCGGGCACGGCGGTCCCCCGGGCGGCGGCCACGGCGGCTACGGCGCGCCGATGGTGGTGCCGATCCACCTTCCACCGGGCGGTGGCGGTGGACACGGCGGTGGTGGACACGGGGGACACGGCGCGCCGCCCCCAGTGACGGTGATCGGCGGCGGCGGCTACGTGGGCTGAGCGCGCCGCGCGCCCATCAGGGGACTGTTGTGGGGCCTGCATTCTTCTCTTTCACCGTCGACGGAACGCCCGCGGCGTGTGAACCATTGTTACTCATGTTGTCGTGTGCAAATAAATGTCATGACTCGCCGTTGTTAATTCGTGTTTCCTGCATGGCACTGCCAGACAACAAGGTCCATCGCGGTCAAGGAAATTGTACTTTTGGTGGAGTGAGTCAGCCAATTATTTTCATCCAATCGCTTCAAGGAGACACGTGGGAAAATTATTTCTTTGGTGTTGACACAATAAAATTTCAAGGATCAAAATATTTGTTTCTTTTTATTGAGATGAAGTTTCGTTTGGTTTCATTACAAAATCAATAACACAAACTAGAAAACGTCACAGACTAGAAAACTTGAGGAAATAAGCTTTACAAATGACGGGTTTTAAATGCATTTGAAATTGCAAAATGAATCGACTGATTGAGAAACTCAAGTAATTCTCATTCATAATGATAGGTACATGTGTATGTCAAAGGAACAACATTCATGTCAAACTGGTGATAGAGGTCATTTTCATTCAACTGAGTCATAGCTAGCGGAAGGCGCTGTATGGGAATTGGGAACCCGATATCCGTTAGCTCTTTCCTGGGAAAATGTACCACACTATTCAATTTCGAGTTTGAGTGGATTTGAGATACCTTGATCAGTGGCGTATCCAGGGGGGAGGCCAAGAGGCCATGGCCTCCCCCTTTGTGATCAGACATGCAAGTGGGCCCTTTGGGTCACTTGAGTGCAGTGACGTACCCAAGGGGGCCACGGAAGCCCCTGAGGTCCAAGGATAACTCAGGGGAACCAGCGTGACGAAGGCGTTATGGGTCTCCCTGTCTTAATTCCAGTACTACAGAATGTCTTTTACTCGAAAAAAAAAAAACAATATCAAAGAGCGATATCTATCACAGTCACAAACACAGAGGGCCCCTAACTACCATGAGAGCCCTGGGTACCTGAGGGGCCCCCTGGTTACCTGAGGAGTCCTGGTTATCTGACGAGCCCCTAGTTACCTGAGGGGCCCCTGATTATCTGAGGGGCCCCTGGTTGTCCGAGAGGTTCCTGGTTGTCTAAGGGACCCCTGGCTACCCAAGGGGCCCCTGGTCACCTGAGGGGTCCCTGGTTATCTGAAGGGCCCTGGTTACCTGAGGGCCCCTGGTCACGGGACCCTGTTTACCTGAGGGACCCCTGGTTATCTGAAGGACTCCTGGTAAAGGACCCCTGGTAACGATGGCCCCTGGTTACCTGAGGGGCCCCTGGTTACCCGAGGGGCCCCGGTTACCTGAGGGACCTCTGGTTATCTGAGTGGCCCCTAGTTACCCAAGGGGCCCCTGATCCCCTGGATGGCCCCTGGCCAGTCATCTGAAGAAGCCCTAGTCACCTGAAGGGCCCATGTTTACCCGGGGAGTACCTGGTTATCTGAAGGGATTCTGCAGTCACATGAAGGCCCTTAGTTGCCCGTGGAGTCCCTGGTATAACCGGCCTTTGATTATCAGAGGGTCTCCTGGTCACGGTAACCTGGTGGGCCCCTGATCAATTGAAAAGCCTCTGCAGTCACCTGAGAGGCCCCTGATTGCCTTAACGGCCCCTGATCACTTGGATTCAATGGCATAGCCAGGGGGCGAGGGACACGTGTCCGTTATGTGGTTTAGGGTCCCCTCGGGCTCGAGGGGCCCTACGGTGCCAATTGACATCAGAGGGTCCGCGCTGGCCACGCTTCAACTGGAAAGGAGTGAAAGGACACCACGGGGCTTTTGAGAACACGTCATGGTCTCTTATGTAGCCACACTTATCTCCAGAAGGGCCCCACCCGAGGTTCTGAAGGACCTTGCCGGCCTCTGAGGGCCCTTGCCGACCAATGAGGGATCAGCTGTAAGGGCCCCACACCTGTTTGTTATTCCCCCACGGCCCACACCAGTATTTCTGAGGGCCCTTACAATGGCGACTGGGAGGGCCCTCACCGGCCACCGCCACCTCTAAGGGTCCCACACCAGCGCCTCTTAACGGCCTACATCGGCGGCTCTGAAGGCCCGCTCACCGGGGCCTCCGAGGGCCCTATACCAGCGCATCTAACGGCCACTAACCAGCGACTCTGAGGGCCTCTTACCGGCATCTCTGAGGTTCCCTTGCCGGCCTATGAAGGGCCACTAGTAACTTTCAGGGTCCCATACATGCCTATGACAGCCCCTACCAACGTCTCTAAGCCCTAAGGCCCCACAACGGCGCCTGTGTGGACCCCATACCAGCGCATTGATCTGACGGCCTTTCATAGACACGTCTGAGGGACCAACACCGGTGACTCTGAGCGGCTCGCTCGCTTCGTTTCTTCAGTGGCAAAGAACCGCACCTGTGCGTGGGTTAAGTATGCTACCACTGGGGCCCCTAAGGTAAGGGTGGGGCCCCCTTGAGCAGGTTTGGCCTCCCCCTTTTCAAGATCCTGGATACGCCACTGACCTTGATCTAGTTATCGCTAGCACTTTTTTATTGAGAATAATTCGATCAACTTTTCAAAGTCAGGCCATTAACAATATACAGTTGAACACTAAATCCATGAACGAGGTCAGGCTTGTTGATGTTCATGATTGTAATGAGCTTTGTTTTTCCAAAGATGGCAGTTAACAAAGATTAACTTTGTCCCTTATACCTACATAAGAGTGTTCACCAACAGAACATGAGGTGATAAATATCATTATAAAACTCAAGTAGAAATAATAATAACTATATAAGTGTTTCCTGCCACGCTCATCACGCACAACCCAAAAAATAACGGCGTCTCGTATTGATATCGCACAACAAAAATAAAGGTGTCTCGTCTAGATGGCAGCACCAGTCAATGGCTAACAATTTTACAGGTAAACACCGTCTGAACAGGAAAATATTGGCAACGATTTCCTAACGAGACCTTAATCCCTCTGATAACAAGGAAAGGGCATGTGGGCCATTCGCACTTCGCTGAACACTAATTACAAGTGATTGGACTTATTTAACAGTCAATGCCACGGAAGAACTTCTCAAAGCGAACTGGACGCAAAAATCGATGAGCTTCGCATTCATATTTATCATTTATGCTGGCGAAATAATGCGACATTTCTAAAGCAAACAATCAATTAATATGCCTAAATAAAGAAAACGCCGAGCGCACAAACATGATTAAGAAAAAATAAGGTGTTTATCATTAAAAGACGTAATAAAGGAATACTAATCGAAAAATGAGCAAATACGGACCTTCATCGAACAAATGCCATTTAAGATCTGCCGAAGGACAATTGCAAACGACGATATAAGATTATTTTTCATTGAAACTGTAAAAGTGTAGCAAGCGAAACTACACACAGATGTGGCACGCATTGAAAGCACTATCGCAAGTGGAAGCTATCCTAACCCTCGCATGTGTGCGGCGTTTGCCAGCTTCTAATGTGTAGGGGGGGGGGTCGGTTGGACCCCCCCTTGCCGTTTGGCCCCTGATCGAGCTAGAGCTTCGCGGAAAAAACGAACATGTTGCCCGTGACGAGAGGAAGCCGATGATGCCCAATTTTAAGGTCCTAGGTCATTGGTTGACCTTCCAGGTCAGGTCAATGACCCAAAGTCGGGAAAATCGGGACCTGTTAGAAAGTCGTAAAGTGTGGCTACTAAGGGGTTTTTCGGGGTGCTGATCACGAATATCGTGTTAGTTTTGATCACAGATGATGGCTTTAAGCATTTAGACCAGGTCGGGTCAGGTCAGGTCAGGTCAACCAGTAGGCGTCGTGACGGGTATTCGTAGTACGTGTCAACCGCCTCTGACAGCTTCGTAACATGTTACGAAGGCACCAAAACTACTTCGTAAATGTTCAAATGGTTGCTAAATTCGAATTCAGCTCCAAAAACTAGCCTAGAAACATGTAAAACTCGAAAAAGTGAACCGAGGTCACCCCAGGTCACCAAAGGTCAATGACCTGACCTGACCTTCAGGTGACCTTGCCACCCACCCTTATGTATGGGAGCAACATCAAATCACATGTTTGAACGTTTGAAACCACGAAAAGCTTGCAAACGCGCGGCTAATGCGAGCCGACATACACGAAATTGCGATTCCGGCCAAACATGGTCTCGGAAAAGAGGTCACAGGTCAAAGGTCATTTGGGTCAGGGTCATGAAATTTTCAGGGTAGGCGCAAAATTGATCAATGCGAAGGTACTGAAAGTTTCGTTGCGATCGGCCGCTTTTTACGCGAGTTATTCGCGAAAATCCATGGGGGGTCCATCCGATCCCCCCCTACACATGCGAGGGATAATTGTATCGGAACCAGCAACCAGCCTACATACTCCTAGACTGACTGTGCAGTATGCACTGGCTTTATATCCTTCTGATCTATAACATTGATTCGCACAGGTTTGAGGGCGAGACAGAAGAGAGAGAGAGAGAGAGAGAGAGAGAGAGAGAGAGAGAGAGAGAGAGAGAGAGAGAGAGAGAGAGAGAGAGAGAGAGAGAGAGAGAGAGAGAGAGAGAGAGAGAGAGAGAGAGAGACAGAGAGAGAGACAGAGAGGGAGAGAGGCAGAGAGACAGAGAGAGAGAGAGAGAGAGAGAGAGAGAGAGAGAGAGAGAGAGAGAGAGAGAGAGAGAGAGAGAGAGAGAGAGAGAGAGAGAGAGAGAGAGAGAGAGAGAGAGAGAATGGAAAGAATGGGACCAAAAGTCGGCAGTGCCCCCCCCCCCCTAACTGAGGGTATTCCGCCGCTACTGGAGCTGTCCTATCATGAAACCAAAAATGAACCAAAAATGAATAATGCAAAAATGTATACGCTTAATGTAATAAAGCGAATTTCCTGCACCTAATAATTAATTGCTATTTTTTCGGTTTGTATAAGGTACGGTGAATGAACAATACGCGGCAATGTTCTGTGAACCGTTTGAAGTTTGCAATGCTCATTGTTTCCCGACTGTGAAAAGACGCAACCCCGCATAAGCATTGTTATTATTCCCGTCCATCTTCCG